AAATCCATAAATTAAACAAAAATGAGCTGCAGATGTACTGCTTTGTTTTAATATCATTCAAAATTGTATTACACTTAAAATTACACACATACACATTTCTGGCCCATCATCTAAAATGTCCCCGTTCTGAATAAATAAAAATGTATAAATGCCTAAATAGATAACAGCTGCATGCAAAAGCAGTTATTAACCGAGAGACCTTGTCTGTTGGGAACAAAATAAAGCATATAAGTATTTTTTTAAAAGCACTTGCTATGTCTTTGTAAAGGTTGTATGTACACTCTGAAAGTGAGTTATTTCTGAGATGCATTAGATTCATTCATCTCTTCAACAAAGTTACACTTCTACCGACCATCCCTCTCTGTCTTCCTCAGTTTGCCACATTATCTCCCCCCTTAGCTCTCTCAGGTTAGTGTGACCTTCATCTCCAGCTGCTGCCAATGCACTGACCCTTCATGCATCTGTCACCCACCATTTCTGGCTGAGGCTCACGTCCAGTCCTTCATAATTAATCACCCAGTGTACATGCAAAAAATTTAAAAAAAGAAAAAAGAAAGGCCAATACTTGACAGCAACTACCACATTAACATAAACCAGCTGGTCGTCATATTAGCTGTAAAGCAGAGGTGATAATTAAAAATGATCTTGGCGGGAGTAAATTGGTCAGTTTGAGGATTAACTGTGAAATGACTCACATGGATAAAAATGAATTGCACCCTCCGGTGCCTTGGCTGGGATTAAATGGCACTCGACGTGGAGCAACTCTCAGTCAAGAACAAAAAGTGCAGTGAAAATGCATTACAGGTGGAATAAGTGGCTCTACACAGTTTCCATTATTCTGTGGTTACTATAAGCCTAAGTCCATTTCAAACCCAAAGCTCTCTGAGAAAGATATATCAGCAAGCTGCCAAATCCTGCACAGGCACCCTCAATTTGCACAGAAATGAAGCGTCGACTCATCTTCAATATGTTAAAGTCTGCGAGATCTGAGTCGTCTTTTCATCATAAAGTAAGGGAGGTGGACCAAACATCGGCTGTCACATTACACTGATTGAAGCAGGCACGACCGACTTCCCTCTGAAGTGTTTAAATGGATAGTATTTTGATAGCCATACGTGCCAGACTCAATTACCAAAGCAAAAAATAAATTAACTTCCTGCTCTCTTTTCTCCTGCCAATACAAACCTTGAGAAGGAAGCATCTGACAGAGATTTCCCAGGATAGGAATCAAGGTGACTCTTCACTTTCATCATTTCTGATAAGCTTTCAGATACCTTCTTCTGTGGTGTCAGGCAAAACGCCTGACTCTGAGTGAACTTTTGCCAGTGGCCTGAGTAGGTGTGCTGGTTGACATGCCTCCAGTACGCAGCATCAAAAGCCTGTGCAATACTATGTGTCTGTCTGAGGCAGTCAGTTCGGGTGCCATGGGGAAGTGGGTGAGGCATATGTCTGTATTCTGTCACTGGCTTTCAATCGTCACTTTTGCAACCTCAGTGCTGCTGACAGCAAATACTACCTGTTGCTCCCAAAATGTCCTTTGAACAGCAATTGAGATCATGATTTCCTCTGGGCCAACTTTTTTCCAAGTAGCCGCCTACCTCTGTAAACCCTATAGCACATCAGCCCTCTCCTCCTCTGCTCTCTCTCTCTTTTTAAAGATACTGGGATGTCTCAGCTCTTATGCAGAGCATCCTGCCCACAACCTCTCAACCAAGCAATTAAGGCAGCTCCCTCCTCATGTGAATCATTTAGCTCTTTCAGGAGTGTGAGCATGTTTACAATATTCATCATGTTCCTCTTACTCATGCTCTAAGCACTGAGAGAGGAAAGAAGATTCACAATAGTTAAAGGTAGAGGTGAGGACAGAAGAAAAAGCAGTGTGGGCAGGAGTGGGGTAAGAAAACCAGCATGTGCTGGCAGCGGCGTGCAGAAGAAATTATGTCAAGACAGGTTGACTGCATGGTGTGGTTGGTCGTGGACATGCGATGAAAGACAGTGTGGGTTGAGAACGTGTCAAGGTTGTTTTAGAGGTAAAAGTACACCCTGCTGAGCTCCACTTGACCATAATGTCTGGGGCTGAAGTGTTTGGTGGGAAGCCTGCGGACAGACCAGATTAAAGCCTGGATCGCAGTGAATTTAAAACTGTATGAGGTGCTCGGTTGGAGATGTTGGGTTCATAGACGTGCCGGGCTGGTTATCTTCTACCACAGAGCCCATCTCATAGCCTGGGAATTAGCATGATCACACCTCGTAGGTCTGCTAAACATCTGCTTGTTATTTTTGATCTCAAGTACGTGTCAGAAGGGGAGAAGTGTCGAGCAGAAAGGGAGGCAGTGTGAAGAACAAACAGCAGCACATCAGAGCAACAGGGTGGGGATACAGACAGGAAAACTGTTGAGGGGATAGTTTAGGCCAGGGCCAAGGAATCCGAGGGCAAGGGTGGCCACTGTAAAAAAAACCCAGCAGAGATAAGATCAGAAATCCACCTCAGCATGACGTCCCTTCATCACAGGATAATCCCCAGACATGAAAAGACGAGCATATCTCCAATCTGAAGGAAATCTCTATTCCCCAGATTCTTTAGCTGCCTAATGCCAAGCCGACACACCCGTCAGGCATCTGCCCACACTCCTTCGAAAACTATGTGTACCTTAGATAAGCAAGAGGAACGAGGTGATGCATATGGATCTTTCTCATGTGTGGAAAACCTATTTTATGACCACTGAGCTTGCAAAGTCCATTGTGAAGAGGGAGATTGTCGGTCAAACAACATCCAACAGCACACTTTGTGTCGAGTGAAAGTAGGTCTAACAGATAAAGCAATATAATAATGATTTATTGTACATCCTGTATTTTGTAGGGACAGGGAAAAAAAGGAGATTAACTAGTAATTTAAAATGAGCCACTTGAATTGAACCAATGTCACATATACTTTCCATGTATCAGTTTGTTTAGTGGTGTGTTTCTGCCTGTGCGCTGCAGACAGGAGGCATGGGATTGCTTGTTGCTTATGAGGATTATGGTTTTATTTTCAAAATGAAAATGACAGAAGTCAGTAATCCAGCGCAAAGGAAACAAAAGAGACTGCAGATGCCTTTCAATTCATATGACCTCAAAAAAAAAAAAAGCCAAACTCTTGAAAATGTGACGCGTACTTCCAGGACACAACCAGGTTTCCACTGTCTGACAAAACTGTAACTGTAAAAAAAAAAGAAAGAAAAAAAAGAGCAGGGTGAACTTTAGCTCACCCAAAACATGTAGGAGCTTAACAGCTGAGTGCTCGCTGTCCAGCAATTCACCGCCTCCGTTTCTCAGCCGGTCAGAAGCTATTTCACTGGATCCAAAAATACACCGAGTGGATCTCATCGCAAAGTTTTATTTCCAAAGCTCGCGGCCTATTACGCTAAAAGGGGAAGGAGGTGGGGCGGACTCGTGGAAATGCCTGCTTTGTGTCTTGTTTTCTCTGCCTTGCTCATATTACAGAGCATGAGCTTGCATTCGGCTTTTGGGATTGTTTTGCACAAGCCTGAAAACTAACATGACCTGAATGAGAAATGTCTCCTCTTCACTTGTCCTGAAAAGAGCATCTGTGATGAAAAAGTGTGGTACGCTTGTCTTCTTCACCCTTGCAGGGAGCAGGAGAAAACATTTATCACCACTCTCCTCTGCGCAGATAAGGTGTCTCTATTTATTCAGAGCAGAAGAGATAAACACTGAATGAAGCATTGTGGGGCAGCGAGAGAGAGAAAGAAAGAGAGAGAGAAAGAAGACAGAGATGGTGGGAAAAAAAAAAAAAGGACAAGGAAGCAGCTTGGTTTTCAATTGCTTGTGTGTGTCCATGTGAGCAGATGGCATCTATCCCCTGTGCAGTCAGGAGACTGGAGGCTGACCCCCTGCTCTAACCCCCTTCCAACAAGCACTTCTACCACCAGCAGCCGCCTTTCCTGCTTCCACGTGCCCCCTCCATGCGCTAATCCATTCCCACTACGAGACTGTTTGTATAATGTTATTTAATGGGAATAATCCCTGGGAGATGGAGCACCCTGCGTACAGTAGATCCGTCTGCAAGGGCTGGAAGAAGGCAAGGGCTGTGAATAAAAGGACGATTTAGGGGCGGAAACAAGGCAGTACAGTGGCGTGTTGAGGGCTGCGCCAGGGACTGAGAGATACAGACTGACAGAACTGCACAGGAGATTCAACAGGGACATGAATAGTGCTTCTGTCTCCTTGTTCTCCACAAGAGAGACACAAGACTGAGGGAGGCGAGTGAAAAAAGAAAAACAAACAGGAGGCATTGCTCACTACTACTTCTGTCCTCTCAGATGCTGATGTACAGCCTAGTGTCCAGAGGTGAGGAACACAGTTCATGTGGCCATTTCTCACTGAAATTGCCTGTGTTCAGGCACAGACTGCTCCTTATGAGGCAACCGGGCAGATGCTGTGGCTGTAGTGCCTCTGAGATAGAATGCATGGTTTAGTGAAGAGCATGTCTTCAGGGCTGTGTTTTTTTCCTTTCCCTCTTACAAAACAATCAGCTGTTGAGTCTGAGAAGGAGCAGAACAAGTTTGCAGCCAGACAGTGCTCAGTACAACTATGAAGGGCTGGAGTATGTTTCATAAATCATGCACAAAATATGAAATTTAGTGCGTAATTTTAAATCTTTAAGAAATCCACCACGTATTTTCATGTCACTGTGGTTCTGGCTGTTAACAGAGCATGTTTGTTTGCAGGATTTTTTTTGTCAGGACATACACAGCAGACAGCAACAATAAGTGAAACAGTAAGACGTGAAGAGCAGCGGTGCCGTGCGAGTGGAAGTAACAGCGTTCCTGGGTACGCTTTACGCACCCGTGCCGTATCAATAGGGCGTATAATAGCCTATCAAAACTTGGTGCTCACATTTACCAGGCTCTGAAATTGAAACTACGGTTAAACGACGAAGCAAATCGTCCCAAACCCCCTCCGCTCTGATGGGATACACCAGTTTTCCCGGAACTCACCTTGGAGGAGAAAAAAAAAAAGAGCGAAGAGAGTAGTTGCACAAGCGCGAACAGTCCAAACACTGAAGAATTCCCCACCACGATGGATTGATAGTAAGAAAAAAAAAAATCCGTAAGCAAGTTTACATTTTACTCTTCCTCACGCGTCCCGTTGGCAGGTTTCAGAAAGGCACTATTCCGTAGAAAAACAGGGCTACTTGGTTGTATCAGATCCCGATCAGAGGCGACACGGGCAACTCCTCAACAAAAGAGTCTCTGGTTAGAAGACCGGGACTTTCTCCACGCCCAGGTGACGAGTCACATGATAAATTCCAGGTGTGCATGTGTCTCCAGAAGCCGCGGCTCACTTGGCAGCTACACACCTGTGGGATGCACCTCCGCTGTCATCTGAACGAGCCGGAGGTTTGTGTGTCGGAGGGAGGAGAAGGAGGAAGGAGGGAAGAAGCGCGCACTGAAGGAGAACCGACGCGACCGGGAACCGAAAGGAAGCAGCCTTTCCCCCCCCCCTCCTTCCTTCTGTCTCTCTCTCTCTCTCTCTCTCGCTGCACGCTGCCGGTGGTGGAGGCAACAAGCGGGGAAGTAGTGCGAGGAGGAGAAAGAAAAGAAAAAAAAAAGGGGGAAACAAGTTGTGTCGTCTTGTTCGCCGACGCACCGAGATATTTCCGCGGGCGGTGGGGAGCGGTGTGGCGGCAGCCCCGGCGCTGTGCTTCCCAAAGTGTGGTCCGGATCCAGCAGCAGTCTGTGGGGGCGGTTCCAGGTCACTCCAGGCAAAACACAATCATGTTTAGATGGAAGTGTTGCAAAATAATCCAAAGTGGTGCTTTTGGATCACTAGCGTTCCCCTCCCACAATATATATACATATGTGCCTAATTCTGTCTAGTCATAGGTAACACTTTATTTTCCTCGACACATGCCTCTAAAATATGAACATTGCAATTTCTATATTTTAGAGACATTTGTATAGAGGGGGGAAAGAAATCTTTTTGGTCGATTTGACTACACAGATTTAGTTACCTTTATGTCTGGATAAGACATTTTGACATGAGTAGGGGAAGTAGATGTGGAAATAATAACATTAACCATGGCTGAATTCCATTTAGCTGCTCTAGGTTACTAAGACACTTGAACTGTAAAACCGAACCATGGTTAATTAATCACTTTAAAGGGTCAGTTCACCCCAAATTACAAAACAAATAGTTTTGTTTTTTCCTGTCAGGTGGTTAGAAATGTGTTGCCACCCGGAGACAATGTAGGAAAGGAATAAGTGTTAAACATTTGCGATTGGCTCAGTTTTTACGTTCAAGTGTCCTAGTAAACCTTAACAGTGAGTCAGCATAGATGATACCAAGAACTGGAGCGGCTAAATGGAATTCAGCCATGTTAATATTATTATTTCCCACATTTACTTTTATAGATGTATACTTACCTAAATCTGTCTGGTCATATCTACCTTGCCTCTAAAATATAAAAATGACATAAATCAGATGTGTTTAGGTAAAAATCTTTGGAAACTTTAAAGGGTCACTTCACCTAAATGTTAAAATGGATGCAATCTAGCAGCTGGTTTAGAAATATGCTGCCACTAAAATAACCCAATAAGCCCTTTCCCACCAACAGACAACTGTAGAAAAGGCACAAGTATCAAACATTTGGTTTATTATTCCCACATCTACTACCCCTACTCATGTCAAAATGTCTTATACAGATGTATCACTACCTAAATCTGTCTAATCAAAGCTACCAAAAAGATGTACTTTTTCTATATAAATGCCTTTGAAATATGGACATTACATAAATCAGGTCTGTTTAAGTAAAATTTGTGGAAATGTTAAAGGGATAGCTCACCCAGATGACAAAACAGATAGCTTTGTTTTTTTCATACGGGTGGTTAGAACTATACTGCCACCAAAAAAAGATGCACCAACAGACACTGCGGGGAAAAAAACGGCTTAAGTATTTAACATTTACGATGGCTCACTTTTTCAATTCAAATGTCTTGGTAAGCCATAACAGTGAGTCAGCATAGATGATACCAGGAGCCTG